ATTCATCGCCTGTCACTTTGGGACTAGACTAAGTTTAATGATTCACGAAAACGCATCCGCTTCTGTCGTTCATTAATTTCGTCCATGGCCATTATATTAACCGCGGCCACTGCGACATAAAGAGGTGCGCTTTAATTTCGTATATTGCTCCGTGACGTCACAACGACGTCATTACGTCATATGGCACTTCCGTGGCCCAGATAAGCGGCGCTCCTTCCTCCACGCCCCGAACACCTGAACGACGAAGATATGGAAGTTGGGCATTTTCGGAGAGCGAACCTATCGCTGTTATCTGCGTGGGAACTTCTTTTTGATACGTTTACTCGCTTTATCGATATTTATTACGGACACTACCGCGTACCGCCTTGCTCGCCTTTGAGTCCAACTCAAACCTCGTATTCCCATAGATAAAGTGTAAGAACTACATTCATATTTATATATTACTAGCTGCAGCCCGCGACTTCGTCTGCGTAGAATAGGCTGAAGGCGTAAAATTCAGACAAAAAGACGGTTATACATTAAAATATGTATATAAATTATAGCCTACTAGCTGCTGCCTGCGACTACGTCTGCGTAGAATAGGCTAAAGTATGTAAATTTAAGACGGAAAGACATAACAACCATAATCCGTAAAAATATTATAATTTAATATTAAGATTTCGAAATTCACTGATTCAGGCATCCATTTTTCTCTAGTTTCTTTACTGACTTCTGGATCTGTGGAGTGATTTTTTCGGTGCGTTATTTTTAAACAAGTTGTATGATTCCAACTGAAACGAAATACTTTTCGATCACTTTTTCTACAAATTTCCTAACGCATTTTATCCACAATAAGATTTTCAGCTGTTTCATTCGCGATTCCAGAAGACGTGGATTCGGTTCCCGCAACGGCGAAAATCTTTTCTTCCATTTTTTTCCACAAATTTTTCAAGTGAATAGATTAGCACTGTAAAAATTTATATAACCAGTATGGTATCGACGAAACCAATGTATTATGTGAAATGTTGCGAAGTACATTTCTGAAGTAGCACTAATCTGTGTTGAGCGACGATATCTTTTAAGGTACATTATCATTGATTAGGGTCGTTTATTCCAAGGAACCGGTTCGCCAAGTCGAACGTTGCGTTACTCAATGTTTATTTACGGTAAACAGTTAGAGCGATAGTGTCGCTCAATTTAATCAGTTTTTTATTCACCGCCGCCAAGTTAATACGTCCGTTATGACTGCGAGTGAATTTTTAGTTTTTTATAACTTTCCTTTAAATATGATAACGTGATAGTGAAGTGACGATCATCGCGAAGGGTTTGAATTATCCGATTGCCTTTAAGTGAAAATTTTAAAATTTCGATCTAATTACATAAAACTTGCAACGAAATTTTTTGTAATGATGTGTCTGCAAAACTATTCGGTGATAGGGATTCTTGCCGGTTTCTTCTCAACAGAAACTGCTTTCCGAACCGGTGGTAACTTACGAACGTGTTAATTTCTTGTAAAATTTTGACGTTTCATAAGAACGCGCAAGCGTCTATGTGAATAAAGATATTTTATTATTATTATTATTATGGGGGGATATTCATTTGTTTTCTCGTCTGGTTGGGTTTATAAATAAAAATAAAAATAAAGATATAGATATATATTGCATATATAAAATTAATTATTATTATTATTATTAACGAGGTCGAACTACGAATAGGTCTCGAGGGAAGTTACTGCGTTGCAGAGACCGCATAAGTGTAAAGTAAAATTACTTATGGCCTTTAAGTGAAATAACTGTCCAAATAAAACTCTAAAATGTGTGAAAATCCTACCTTTACTATGGTCTCTGACGCACTCATAAGCACCATCGTAAATACTACCAATACTAGGTGAAATATAAAATTTTATAAAATATATACATGTAAAGATAAAGCAAGAGAAACAAACGAAAACAATGAGTCTGCAATTATTCGGGCAATTTGTCACGTCGCTTGTAATTCGATATGTAATATGCCGTACAAGCCAATGGCGCAGCGGTAATTAAGTGTTACGGTCGGTGACACGTCGCGGGGATTAACACGATGTAACGTGTTAATTGCAGTTTTTCAGTGCACCCCGATTGTCCGTTATCCCGCCGTTAGTGGTGTTAACGCTTTAAGGGTATTCTCTGCTTTAATTTTCCCACTTTACAAACATTGCGTATTATATAATACGATACACAGCAGTTTCTGCTATTGTAGGTACAATAGTCAGACTTTTTCGGGGAAGTTTAAAAGAAGTGTTATTATTCCTTTAATTGCAAATTTCCATAGCATTCATTTAAATAAATATAAATTAAATGTAACAAAAAAAATTAACAAACAAATAGTACAAGTTGGCCACACTTAAAAATATCCGTTGGCCACACTAGGCTAGCCTGCCCTGTCTATTATTCACTCGGTCGACAACTTAGTTTAGTTATACGAAAATATAAAAAATTCTGACATCGTTATGTTAACTTGTTTTAATCTAGTTTAATTACTATCTTCTAATTTAACATGATCTGAACTTTCTTTTCTCGATTGCTAACGGATGAATCATCTGTCGAAACCTAACCCATGACTTGACCAAACCAAGCCAATTCTATCTCACTCCATTCATAGTACAATCAAATGATGGGGAAAAAGTAAGTTAAAGAATAAATTACATCTTACAAATTAAAAAATATTTTTTGAAGTTAAGTAGAGTTAAGAAATGTAAAGTAAAGTAAAATAGCTTATATATGTCCGACTGCTGACCAAAGGCCTCCTCTGTATAGAGGGTATTAGGTAGGGCATAGTCCACCATGTGAGTCCACTGCGGATTTCACAAATATTCGTAATATTTTTTTGTTATTATTTCGAGAATATGCTGGTTTCCTCACGATGTTATCCTTCAGCGCCGAGCAGTAATAATTAAGCAATTTAGATTATATTTAATAATTTCACCGGGAATTGAACCCAGGTTACTCGAGTATATTGAATTAAAATCGAGTGCCCCGTCACTGAGCTATAACGGCTTGCAAGCCTGTCGAGCCGCACGATTTTTTTATGTAAAAATTTCGCAAGGGAGCGGTCCATTCACTTTGCACACATAATAGTCACTCAATCCATATTAATCACTTAACATCATTAAGTGATTACCGCCACCCATAGACATGTACACCATTGAAATAGGACAGATTTTTATGATTAGGTTACGGCATGAGGTATACTGGTCATCTAGTACTAAATAAGCGATGCTCTTGAACGCTCACAATGTCATGGATGAGGCAAGCGTGTTGCCAATAACTGAGAGTTTGGACCTCCGGCTACCTCGTTTACGGAATGTCAATGTTGGATCCTGTCAACCTGGCCTATTTAAGAAGCAGGAGCTTTTATCTATACTGATCGTCGACTGGGGCATACAACGTAGCGTATAGAGGATAACTTTTTAAAATTGTATTAAACATTTAATTTATTTAAACATGAATATTTACCGAGTGATTAAATTTTCCAAAACAAATAATTTTAGAACACCCGTACTTATAAAGATGCAACGTAATGTTCATTTGTAAAGGTCACAAAGCATATCAATTGGTTGAACTTAAAAGAGAAAACATACTGTTAGAAGGAGAGACTTGTAAGGAACTTTGTGTTGACTTGTCTTGAAATGCGACGTTGTGGCAACGAATGAAAAAGTCTCTGAATGTATGAATCACACTGTAACAGTTGTATAGAATGTAACAAATATTGTTTCTTTTTTATTTAATTAGTTGAAAATTGTTATTTTTTAATTATGAATATTTTAACGTTTACATTTTTTTATGATTATTGGCAACTATCGTTAGAAGTGTGTTCATTTAGTGTTGCAGTTGTAACACCATGCTGTATAAGTGCAGGTCCATTGCCTTTCTTTCAAATTACGATGGCAAAAGAGTTTGATCGTGCACACAAACACTGCGGCAGATTGAGATGAAAAGTCGCGTTGCAAACTTTAAAACATAGAACAGCGCCTATTTCAGATCTTCGACAACCTCTTAACTGAAGCCCGCACGATGATAGCTCTTTTAACTTGCACTTAACTGGCTTGATCGGGATTATACCGAACTCTATCGCTACCTCTTGAAGATCAAGTAGTGTCGCATAAAACGATCAGCTGTCACAAACGTCACATTTTGTATTAAGTAGAGATTGAAAGAAATGAATTTTCAGAATATAAATGATGCTAAGGAAATCCTTTGTAAAATTTCTCGTTTCCAGACCCACCCGTTTAAGCATCGTTTGTTATTGTATATAAATAGCTAGTTTTAAATTAAGTTTAAGAGGAAACTAAAAGTTTCGTGATAAGTTTACCAGAAATACACGCCCCTGGCTTAAACGTAGATTTGCGAGTTCCCAATATAGATTGGGATTCAATCCCAACGAATATTCCGTTTTTCTTATGTGCATAAAATCGAGGTATCTATTCTTGTCTTTACATGAGACTTGTAACAGTTTAAAATACAAAGACTCAAACAGAGTAGAGACCTAACGATTAGAGATAGTTCTCCTCTTTCATACAAGTCCTTAGTTTTACTTTTACTTTTATTACATATAGTCAACTGCCTCACGACGAATTTCGTAACTCCACATGGAAAGTAGAGTGCACTGTATTTTTCTAGCTATAGTAGGCAAACCCTCAGAATAATTTCAACATTCTTCTAAGAAAAAAATAATATTAAGCTCTTACAAAAGTCACACTCACTATTCACTATGCTGACTGAGAACACTCAGCATCAACAAAAAATTAAAAAAAAATATTATGTAGTTGTATAATTATGCTTTTTACACAAAAATGTCCTTCACGAAAACTTCTAGACGACTTTTACTGTTTTCTGGGTTAGTTGGTTAAATCAGACCACATATAATTTTTGTTTCGATAATTAATTTTATTTATACTTATTACAATTATAATTAGAGTATCAGGATTTCCTGGATTTGTATACCCACGACGTGTATGTTCCAATGAAAGTAAAGGTCTTCTAGTGACGTAGGTGCTGCCAAGCACCCCGGGCGCAACGGGTCGGCAACCTTGGCCCCATTCCGTAATTCAGCTGCCCATTATCTCGCACGCCCGTGCATCCCGCATCTAAGGCAAATGGAAAACTGTTTTGTTCACTTTTACATACTTAATGGCACAACTTTTGTCATCCTTGTCCTAACCGAAAACTTAAATCGAAGATGATAGTTTTAGTCGGTACTTTCTGTCGATAAGAAGACCTCTCATATCGTATTTTTTAGTTGTGCAGATTTCATCTAAATATTTTCCTTCACCACCGACTAATATAGAGGTAAAACAACACCTTTAATTGCAAATACAAATTCATTCGAGATGTGCTCTTAGGTAGTTTGATAATACTCCATAAAAGGGGAGCGCCCGGACACTAAATTTGTATGATGCGACGTAACCAAAACTCTCATTTATTTAAATATACACATTAATTTTACATAAGCCCTAGTATAAATACATTTCGATGGAACAATTGATCAAAAATAAATACAAGTTGGATGTATATCTCCCCGCCTAACGTCTAATCGAGGAGTAAAGTTGGTGCTAAGTGTTCGCAATCGTACCTCGATATGTACACGTGGATTTAACGCGGTCGCGCTGTTACCTGCTGACTGAGTGAGACTGGGAGGTGTCCTCGTCGCGTGATGGTGTGGTGATGTGCTTGTGGGGCGATGGCGTGGCCCGGGGGCGAAGCTGGCGCTGTGGAGCTGCCGCTGCACCAAGTGGGGAGCTCCGACGGCATAGACGGGCTCGCCGTGCCCGCTACAACAGCCGTCGACGGCCAGGGAAGGACCAGTGAGTGCTTTGACCTTGGCTTTGTTATCACTGACCACCTCTTCTAACTTGATATGTACACTATGTCAATAATTTAAACCTACTTTTGGCTCTTGAAATTCCTTTTGAAATGAAATGACTGTGCGTTTTTCGCGTCAATTTTTACCACGCACAAACAAGTCGTGGAAGTTGTCGTCAGTGATATTTCTGGACAGGATCAAGAAGAGAGCCCCTTTCTTCCTCAAAGGCTAGCATCGCATTATTGTGACTAAATTCTCCTTGAATGACCCTCGTATACTCGTTGTTTTTCCTCATTTTATGACAACCATTAATCGATAACGGTAAATCACCTAATATTTATATAGCTCGTTACAATTACCACTTATATTTATCAGTTTAAAGTAATAAATAAATTGACCGTTATTAGATAATGCATTTTAAATTACAATAAAATGACGCGCGTATTATAATGAAACGGACTTGTTTAATCTATAGGTCTACGAATAACAGGAAACTTAATAGATTGGCCTCAAGTCGTAAAAAATATTTGTATCCCAAAAGCTTGTACTTTGTATTTTATTACATTGCGTTTGAATTTTAGATGAGTTTCGAAATTCTTTGTGTGTGGTATGGGACTATCATTTCATCTACATCTAGATTAGGACCTTGAACGTCCAATTAAACGCGATACCGTTGCGTAGCGAGTTTAGTAGATCAAGCCATACGTTCCTCGGGACGTGCTTAAGAAAAGAACTGCAGTAGTATACAAGAGATGCAAAAGCCTCAATCAATGTACTCATAATACCACCAAATAGTAAACAGATTTTTTTAACGTTTCAAAACAAAGAGATCTCACTTACAATCTACCGGGGTTGACACATTCCTTTTGAGTGGAACATTTAATTTATGCTGCCATTGTCATTTGGTGTGCGCGTCACATGCATATGCAACGTGGATAATTAATTGATAGTGCACACTCGGAATAATATCACGAGAATCTACGCTTTATGGGATCACAATACTCTAAAATACATATTCTAAGAAATGAAACTAATACATATTTTTTTATTTACTACGATGTCTTTAATTTACATTACAACACAGCACTAGTAAGTTTTAAAATATTTGTGACGAAAAAACAAGTTATTTCATAAATATTGTTTTATACGTAGGCTATGGGTAAAATGAAAAAGATGTAAGTCAAATAATAAAGTATTGTAAGCTTTGCAAACCTTAGCAAAACGAAATCTATAGAGTATGCAATAAAATAAGAAACGAGACCAAATAAGGTATCTGAAAATTCCAAATCTGTAAATGCATTTTATGCATTTGCAGACGGGATTAAAAGAATTATTTTAATATATGTTGTAAATAATACAAATATAATATATAAAAAATATAATAGAGTTCGAAGTTGTGTGCAAAACATCATTGTTTTAGTATCTACATGTGTTAAAAAATTGTTTCAAGATACTAAATAATTTCGCAGCAATTTCTTGCCTGTTCTTACCTAGAACGGTCTAAATCAGTGAATCAGTGAAATACGCCAATACAAACTAAGGAAATTTTACCTCGGATATCCCGTGCACTTTAAGAAATTAAAGGCGTAGGTTCTACAGGAATTGCTAATACACAACTCGAGTAAAAATTGTGTTTGTGTTTAAAAACTATAAATATTGAACTATTTATGAAACTATTCAATTTCTTACATGCTATCACAAATCACGAATCTATACCCTAGTTTTTAAGCCACCGGTCACTTGTACACCGCAATGGGAATATCTAAACTGTTACTTTACTCAATGCTCAATTTACCTCGCCTGTGATGGCTGATAAATCAACTAAATCAAAAATATGTTAATACTGTAATTTTAACCACTAAAATTTGAGTAAACTTGTTTCGAAATTCCTTTGTTCCTTCACATGTGACACTTTTCTAACGTTTTCCCTCCATTCTAATTATCATATATGCACATAATTGGCTAAATGGCTATATATTCACAATGCCGTTGTGCCGGATTAGGAGTGACGTGATAGACGACGCCTTGTGGCAATCGTTAAGTTGCCCTCCGCGTAATCCGCCAACAAGATCAACGCAGCCGACATTCACCTTGCCTGCGGCCTGCGGGGCTTCCCCGGGGCCAGTACTGCGGGAGCGGCGGACTGGGCACCATGTTGGTCCAAATACTGATCTTCATGTACATCGCCACCTGCCTCCTGTTCTACGTCGCCCATGTCATAGACTACTATTTCACGATACTGTGATTCCCCACAGCCCCTAATCGACCCAGTAGAGTTAGAAATGCTTAGAAAGCCAGTGCTGTGTGAAGAAATTAGTTAAATTAGATTAGTGAATTCAACGAATTTCCATGTGGAAGAGGCTCCTGACATTTTACGCCGCTTTCAAACGACTCAGTAAGTTGATTAGCTTGTATATGAATGTAATAATAAAATTTTGCTTGTTAAATTTTTAATTGTTAACTAAAATGTAATTTTGGTATTTGAGATCAGGAAAACGGGATTTATATCGTACACCCTGTACGATATATATATCCTCCTCCTATGTTTTCCTTATCCAGAAAAGTAAAAGTGGACGAAAATCGAAGAAGAAAGCTGACATCATTTTAAATACCTTACGTAAAATTTATATAAAAACTATCATGTTATCGTGTATCGTGTGAGAACTTTTAACTATGCTAGGACCACACAAAAGCTTTGGCGGTTGCACGAAGTCGCAGGTTCCGGGTAAGTACCACGACCTCACAGAAGACCGTGAAATGGAAGTATTATATTATATACTTCTGCGTTTCGTCTGGTGAGTGAGGTAGCCGGGGCCCACTTCATTAAAAGAATGCATCGCATTTGCAACCCTACGGGTGTCGTAAATGTCCATGGACGGCGGTCATCACTTAACATCAGGTGAACAGCCAGCGCGCTTGCCACCTTCTCACATACAAAAGACAAGCAAAAATATAGTTTAAATTTTTATAGTGCTAATCTCTGCACTTAAGAATAAACATTAAGTAGAAAAAATTACGAAAAGTTTTTCGCCGCTGTGGGAATCTTCGAACGCACTGTTCTTTTTTACCATTTAATGCAATGATTGGCGCATCCATTGTTGATAAAAGGCGTTGAGATTTTCATCGGTTCGGTAATCAGGTAGCTAAGTGGCTAAAGCATCAGGGCCCGAATCCCGATGACATGGTTTCGATTCACACAGCGGCAAAAAACTTTTCATTCTACAAATTATAATTAACCAGAAGTTTAAATGTTTTTAATCATAGCAAAAGCAAAAAAATAAGCAAAATATCAACTTCAAAGTTGCTCCTGCTTTTATGTTTAGAAAATAAAAAAGCCGCGCCTCTAAATATACATATGCATGACAAATGTTAATTCCCCAGAACATTTACATTAATAATATATGCGATCCTTCCATTTTTTATAGTATTAAAACCTTAAGAAACATACAAAAGAATAAATTAGCCGAATTGGTCCAGCCATTCTTGCGTTACCAACATTCATTTTTGTTTCTTAAGAAAGAAGATTCATTACTTAAACGATTTTTTTTTTTATTTGTTGAAATCATTAAAAACGAACTTAGAATAATTATGTAGGTATTATAGGTAGATAAAATTGACAAGACAATCTCACATTGTTTTCGCTATCAATAAATTGCCATTTAATAGACAGCAAACCTTTATCGACATGATAAGATATCGAGAATACAGTACAGTCATCGTCTAAAGTTTATCTGGGTGAATATACAAAAATTGGGTAACTCAATGTCATCAGCCAATATAAACAAAGTCTTATTATATTTTATTGAGATTCAAATTTATTTTAAAACAATGTAAAGTCCTTTATTTGGTCACACAATTTCAGCTGTTCATTTTAATTACAAGTTAATAAAAAAACACAATTAATGCTTAAGATGTCAGTCCTTTGGCATGTCACAATCCCGAAAACCAACAAACTAGTGACTGTGTATTAAACATTATCATTTATTTAAGAAAACTTACTAATTTACTACAATCTGTGATGTACATAGTAATGTATACTACAACTTTTATAATGCAATATTCTCCACTTTATTTAAAAAACAATAAGAAACTTTGTGTTTTGTTTTATTCGTCAGTCCGTTGTGTATTGTTTAAATTTGAAAATCGCGCCAAATATTACCGACTCAACATCAAATTCCTGCTTGAGTTTTAATGTTGGTAATGAAGTTCGTTGCGGACCCCACAATTTGTCGGTAGTCATAACTGTACCAGCGCTTGGGTTGTGTTTGTCGTCTATACACGTGGTAAGTCAGTCAAAATATCAGTCCCATGGTGAGACATTATTTTCTTGTTAATGTGAGGTTTATTATCATTTATACATACTTAACTATAATTTGTTAAAATGTAGTTTGTTGATATTCTAAATTACAAAAAAAAACTTTAGCTCAGGTTATAGCCTCAAATTATGCCTTTTTCGTCAGTCTGTTGGCGTCAGTCCTTTGTCATATATCGCGCCAGAAGACTGACGTGTTTCCATGGTACTGATTTTTTTTTATTTAAGAGCACTTTTATCTTTGTTACTGTGTATATGCATTTCTATTTTATACTTCAGCTTAAAACATCATGCGGCACGCTAGGCTAGAATACTACCGACCCCATTAAATTAGCGGAACATAAAGAAAAAAAAAACTTCAGTACTTAAGGCAAAAAGAGAAAGGACAAAGAAAAAATGTTGAAGACATGACACCATGAGAGCAACGAATAACTAGAAAAAAATGGAAAATTATACATCAAATTACACGCAAAGAAAACAGCTATTAAAGCAAACCACAAAAAAATTTATACGACAGAATACTCCTCCACCAACTGGCGACGAAATACAACCAATACTTAATGAAGAAATCAGACCTGTTATTAACGAAGACCAAAAAGCAAAAGAAGCTAGAAAGAGAAGTGAAATACAGAGAATAACTAGAAAAAGGGAAATAAAAAAGATGAAGGATATAGTTTCAAACCTTAAACCTAAACTAAAATACCCAGCGTCAAAAATATAAACGAGTCAAAAAACAGCTAAAAAAATAGTGAAATCTATTAAAAAAACGCCAAAGACCAGAATTGAATACATGAGTTAAGATATAACTAAAAAGAAAGAATTAGTGCAGAAGACCCATTTTTTAGAATTTATTAAAACATAATTGGTAGAAAACTACACTAAACTAAAAACTTATGAAGAAAGAAAAAATTTGAACCAAGTTATATCCGGAAACTAGCGACCCGCTCCGGCTTCGCACGGGTGCAACGTGCATATAAACCTTCCTCTTGAATCACTCTATTTAGTAAAAAAAACCATCAAGATTCGTTGCGTAGTTAAAAGATCTAAGCATACATAAGGATAGACAGACAGCGGGACGACGTAACAGAATGTAGTGACATAGTATAAAACAAATACTATGTCACTACATTCTGTTACACTGTTTTTATTAATATTGAGTTATCGAATCATTATTCGATAACTCAAAACCAATATTAATAAAAACAGTGGGTGAGTATCAATGAGTCAATAACAGATCTGAAAACGAAGAAAGAACGATTTTTAATGAAATGTAAAATACAAACACAGGAAATGTCACCTAGAAATGGCAAGTTTTGTAAACTTGAAAATGATATGGTTAAAATTTTCCGCCATTCTTTTAAAGTATTAAACCAGTATAATGCCAATTAGCAAAAATAAAATTTCTAACTAATTATAACCATGAAATTCAATTCTTACATTTCGGCGGTTCGCAAAACCAAATTTCATTACAAACTGTTGTAGTAGGTAATTGTTGTAGTAATTGTTGAATTAAATGTTACGTTAAATGTCAAAAGGCTGTTTTGAAAACTGAGATAGTATTTTCTCCCCCTTTTTTTTTACTTTTACTTTTTTTACATATTAATATTTTTTTTGAAGTTTAATACTTAAAACACATGTGCCTTAATAAATCCTAAGAGATTTGTACTAATTTTTATTAATAATCATTGTTATTCTTACAAAAATGTGTATCTTATCAGTACTATGTTACCCTCGTCAGTCCCCTGGCAGTAAAATTCTGAAAATAATAAATATTTCAATATCTACTCAAAAAAGTGACTGGCCTGATTTGGAACAATATATTCATTAGATTACCCATCATATACAGCCGAATTTGTAGAAATTTGATTTAATAACTATAGTAAACAAAATATCCTCAAAAGCTACCCAACTTTTGTATAAAAATATAAATGTTAATACTTAGATACTACTATAGAGTATACATATAGTTCTTTTTATCGAGTATACATATAGATGTATACTCGATAAAAAGAACAATCAAAACTCGGCGTGTTGCAGTTCTAGATGATCATCGAAACGTCTCGAAATATGTAGCGGTGCTTCATGTCAGATTCGTGTATTTTGACCATACTTATTTCCGTAAAATTTATAATGTTAATGTGAATTTTATTTATGTAGAAAAATGATCGAAAATTTTTCGTCACTGCACCATTCGAACTAGAGTCTTCCCGGTAGCACGGTCAGACGCTTTACCCAACAACGCAATGCGGCCGATGACCCCGACGAAAATCTCGACATGTATAAACTTTTATTGCGTTTTTAGCAATACTTGGCGCTGATAAGACGCGGTGTAGCACGTCGACCGCTTAGCTAAGTGGCTGGCGCTCAGAACTTTGAAGCGCAGATCCGAATCCCGGGAGTTGCGAAAAATTTTTCATTTACACATTTTATGTTTCCTTCATCCTAAGTGTAGAGCAGTGATTCTCAACCTTTTTTTTGTTGCGGCACATATTAAACGATTTCAAAATTTGGCGGCACACAAAGAAAATTATTTACTTACTACAACACACTGCATAAATAGTTTATGATAAAAATTTTAAATATACGAAATAAACTAATATATATTACAATAATAACTAAACGTTTATTAAGGAATTAATTACAAGCTAATAATAAAAATATTTTTAATGCGAAATTTGAGCTTGATGTTTTTTGATAATTTCATTTATATTTGGTCGTAAAAATTACAATGCTACTCTCATATCGTCTTCTACATTTAACAATCTTGATCTTTTTTTAGTTTTAATGTTAGCTAATGCCAAACAATAGTTTTCTTTTTAAATGATATAATTTAATAATATTAACATTATAATATATTTGCAAAATTTGGCGGCACACTTTTGAAATTTGGCGGCACACAAAAG